TCGTAACCTCTTGTGAGTTGCAGGAACCTTAAACTTAAGGTCCATCAAGGACCTTGTACACTTGAGACAAGAGATTAAGAATGAGGCAATATCCTTTTAGGAACACAAGGGAGTTAGCAAATCCCCAACCACAAGACATGGCTTAAGACTGAGACTGTGGTTAAGGCAAAAAATGTAAGTACACACACGCCAACACAACTTCATACGAAGAATGTATCCTTTGACCTGCATCTCAGAGACACAAACACAATTACAACTTCAGACAAATCCAGATTTCAACATCACAATTTTGCAAAACAACAGTGTACTACATGGGGAGTCCGAAGTGAACATAAAGAGCTTAACAAGCTAGTTAATACCAGGTTTGCATTAGATTTGTAAACCTGAAACATACGTCCACAAAAGGCAGGCGATCAATAAAAAACAATTCAGTTCAATCAAATAATATTGTTGGAAAGTGCACGGTTCCTGTTCCCCAAGGTGACAGCTGTGTGGTTGAGTGCAGTTTTTAAAATGCTTTTGGGACCAAATGTACAAAAGCGACAGTTTATTAGATTTATAAAAAGTCAATTTCCTTCAAAACTTTGATTGCAAGGAAGAAAAAAAAAGTTAATCTGTCAGTGTGATACATGTAAGAATCCATAAGCTAAGATTAAAAAAAAGAGAAAACACCGGTATTTTTCTCCTTCCTAATCTAAATTCAAAAATAAATAAGTATTTTTTATTTTATTTTATATATAAACATTTACTTATTATTTATATCACATCATTTCTTTATATTTTTCTTGACACTGTTTAAATACTCTGCCATAAATTAATAAAGTGTTTGAGCTTGACCAGAATATATATTAGTATCATAAAGTAATTCAAAAACTACACATATGGCCAGTAGAAAGTGTTTTGAATTATTTTGCACTTTCCATGACACTGTGCCTGACAATATAGTTATTTAGCAATATAATGATCTCACTGCTGATGGATACAAGAGAAATTAAAGTTTTTCTCAATTTATTCAGATCAAAATTTGCACACATGCCATAATCCAAATGACATACACTCAAAATGTTTCCAGAGCTCGCTATGCTATGGTTGGTTTCATGTAAACACAACTATAATAATTCACAGATAAGAGTAGGATATGTGCCATTGTATTTTTGCTTGAAAAGGATCCAAATACACCCACAGCCTCGATAATTATTTCATGTAATGTCCTCCTTGCGCTAACACAAAGCATTCTCACTTAGAGTCGAGGCCAAATTGAAACTGTGATGGAAAATTAATTTAACTTTCCACAAACTGCGTGGAAATAAATTCAATGCAATGCAACAGCACTAATTAGCCCAAGTCAATACTACAAAAAAAAAAAAACAATTCCAGCTTTGCTAGGGTTTATGAGAATATGTTTGAAAAAGATTAATAAATCACGTGAATACAAGCACACAAGACATCCCTTACAAAATATTTACCAAAATCGCTAAAGGAAAACTCCGGCGCAAAATGAACCTTAGATCTAATAAAACATTGGACCATTCTCTGAGATTTGTTTTCATGATAATCGAATGTAAAGAGTTTTATCTCTAAAACTGTTTAGCATATACAGTAACGCTAGTATATATGGGGGCATATAATAAGTAAAAAGAAATTGCCCCTAACAAGGCTCAAAATAGCCAAACCACTAACACAGTAACATAATGAGGGTTCCTGCATGCAAAACAAAGCATTGAGAACTTTGTAAGTGTACAGACTGTTTAATAAGAAGTAAGAAAATACTTTATAAAGTCAGTCCATACTAGAGTGACTAGTATCAGCCAGCCGTCGAGATAGTTCAGGATGCGAACCCTGTTTTCCCTTAGAGATCGCCGTCACACCAACACCGGAAAGTCGCTCATCTCATACAGTGAAGTCACAAATGGCCGTGGAGTGAAGAGCAACTCTTGGCTCCGAAGCGAAAAACATATCTGCATATTGCCAGCGTCTTCCTTCCATACCCATGAGGTGGGGCGGAGTTGAGCCATGCAAATTCTGCAAACCCATGGCATTTCTTTGCCATTGGCTCATTTTGTAAAATTCGAAGTCGATAGGCTTTATAAGCGAAACTCCATTCGTCATCATCCGACTGTAACTCGGAGTGACAACGAAAGGGAACTAATGTTTACCATGGTACATTGTTCTATGCAAATTAAAGTGCGATAAGCGAGTTGCAAAAACATAGCACCAGTTCTATTTACAAACTAACGTTCAAAACTCCCTGGGTGATGACATCAATCAAACGGAGCTAATACTGGAAACAAGTGCTAATTAAAAGTTTCCATAACCTAAGCAAGAATAAATTAACACATTTAGATGTATTTTAGGTTTGAACAACTTTTTCATTCAATTACTTGCAATTCTGGACTAAGCTAAGTAATTAACATGCTCCCAGTGTATAGCACATATCAAACATTGAAAAAACAAGAACTCAATTAGCTATCAGAGGAAGTCTATTGGGACCTTTGTGAAATAAGATATGACAGAGTTGTAAGTGCTTCTTAGAGGACACTTGCAATGAAATGACTAGTTGGTGGGTTGCCTGAATGACTAGCTAAGGAGTCCCTGTATACTGTAATTAGGCTGGTTTCGGGTTTACTTTAGCCTGAACAGAAATGTTTCCCAAGAGACATTTACAAAAGATGTGTTATTGCCTTTAAAAACAGTGAACCAATTTTAAGTTTTAATGTGTCAGTCAGTGGTGACATTTTAAAGGGAATAAATTTAGTCGACCACTCACATTGTAACTACAATCTGTTGGTATAAGATTTGTCTTTTCCTGCAGATTTGAGATCAGTAGTGTCATTTAATTACATAGTAGAAGGGGTTTTTGAAGAACTAGATGTGGAAAACTGAAAAAGGTAAAATTACTCACAGGCAAGTGACATGGCATCCTAGATCACTTACAAGCCAATGAGATTGGTCTTGGGCCATACAGCAGAAGTCCTATTTGTGCATCTGTTCCCTTGTTAGGTCAGAGAAGAAATAGGCCAAGCTACACTACAACAGAGACAACAGATGCCCCTCCTAGATAACCTATAGTAAGATTGCAGTGGAACATGAGAGATGATGACACACTTGTACTCAACAAGTATGTATTACTTTTGTTTTAAACTGGGTAAGGACGTGCATGTCTACATTTCATGTGAGATATGTTGATAAGACTGCAATGCCTGTCAAGAACCTACTGGGTAATGGCTTTCAGACACGTACAATACATTGAAATGATACGTTCCTGACACTCCTGAAGCCTCAAGCAGCACTTTAAACCACCTGAATGTGGCCTTGTTTTTTCCACTGACAAATCCTTATTGATGGATGAGACCTAGTCACTCGTACACACTCACACCAGCTGGAGAGGTACATTCCCAGAACATTCAAGAGCACAAAACCACCTCCAGTGGGCGAAACACACTTCTTTCTTTGGATACTTGCTCTTTGGTGAGGGTTGAGGACACAAAACAGGCTAGCAGGCTCCAATCTTTCAAAAAAAAAAAAAATAAAATAATAATAATAATTCCAGACAATACCTAAAGTCTTGCCGAACACTGAGCCTCATGGAATACTGGTCTTTCCACGTTTAGCAGATACAAATACCTTGGGATAGTTATAGAACAGGGGTAACCAATACTGCTGCTGAAGAGCTACTATCCTGTACATTTCATCTCTAATTCAAATCAAACACCCCTGAGCCAACTAATCAAGGTCTTTTGGGTTGCTTGAAACTTCCAGGCAAATGTGTTTTGAGCAGATTGAAGCTAAACTCTCCAGGACATTGACCCTCCAGGAGCAAGATTGGACACCCCTTGTTTAGCATTCTGAACCTTGCAAGTTACTGAACTTTAAAATCTAAGTACTTGGTTTTATTTCTACACCACCAGACTTATTGTTTTATTCTGCAAGTTATTGTTCTTGCCTGGCAGCAATTTCACGCTTTGAACTTTACTGCAAGCAAACTGTTTAAGTGAGAGAAGTTCTTCTAGTCAAAATAGTCAGACCTGCCCTGTGTTTCCCCAAGAGTAATCAAGACTTGGAGGTTCACCTTCAATATGCAAGCAAACTCCCACTCTACAAATTTCCTATCTGGGAACTATAATAAGGAAAAACTCCATTCCCACTTTGTTCACTAATCCTTGCAACCAGACATTTTATTGAAGCTACACCTTTAGTAAACAGATTTGAGCCATTATTGATAATGTTTTACAAGTAGGTGAAGGATTAAGGATAGGAGGTGGTTCTTAAACCTCATAACCTTCCTGGTATGAAACATTAGAAACTAATTGTGAGTGTACAACTTCTACAAGTTTTATTATAAAGATACGGCTTAAGCAGGTAGCTGTGTTTTAAAAGCATGCTACTGGTCCAATCTGGTTATTAGTTGGTTGAGGCCGGTTGACCAGCCATGCTCTAAACCACCTTAAATACCTCAAGGTGGCATGATAACTGATGAGCTGGTTTGTTCTTGGTCAAAGATGGCCAAAGGGAGAGTCCAGGCAACACAAATAATCTCCACAGTAAAAAAAAATACCACAGTAAAAAAAAAAAAGCGCTATTCAGGTGATTAATTGCTTGACAAATTCGCTGAGCAAATAAACCATGGGGCACATTTAGAATTTAACTGGTTATCCAAGAAAGAGAGACCAATGCTTTACTCCTGAATGAAAAGTGAAGGAAGTCACGGAAGTAAAGCACACATATGAAAGTTTACAAGAATCAAAAGAGTTCAAACTTTACAGAAAATGCCATGTACCAACAAGCTGTAAGATTGAACGATCTGTGGTGCTATATTCCAGGCTTCTGGATCCTGCAGAAGCCCCACGCCCCCATCTATCCATCGATACAAACACATACATACTGTAACACATGGTCTCCTCTTGCTTCCTATCCAAAAGTAGTCCAAACAGCCCAGCACAAAGTACTACCTCTGCACCTAAACCACCATTAACCTAAAAACAAAACTTTAGATGACCTACCTCTCTACGCCTTCTTCCTGTGTGTCCTCTTTCATTCTTCTTTCGGTTCCCTAATCTTTATCTTGTTCTCTGTTCCTTTTGCCTTCGTTTTTATCCTCTCCAACTTTTTCAACTCTCACTTTGTCCTTCTCCACACTATATCTCTCTTTTTGTGTCGGCTGCTGAACCAGAGCCAGGGTCCAGAATGCGTGGAATTTAAGCAAGAAAAGCAGAAACAATCGCTTCTTTGCGGGTAATATCTTTTCTTTCTCCTGCAGCTGAACTCGTGCTCACATATGGATTACATTCCCAGGAAGGCAACCAGCTGGATTTAAGCACAGTGGCTCTCTCTCCCTCTCTCTCTCTCTCTCTCATACTCCCCTACGAATCCCCCCACAGCACAGCCCCTGTCCGCTCCCTCATTTCTGCGGTGCTGTTTCTACTCTAATCATTAACTCTGATTGGGGCGGCACTACGTCCTTTAACCCTTTCGGTGGCCTCCTGTCACTCATTCCTCATTGGTTATTAAAACAAAGACTGTTCTTACTCCTGCAATACTTTGTAACATCAACTACTGTAGGATAGTGGAAGTGAACATGAGGGCCACTGTTTCAGTGCTAATGGGCTGCAGAATGTTACATAACATGGTGAAGTAGGGCAATTCATCTGAGGTTTGGATGGACTATGATGCTAGGGCTTCCCTGTAATCTGTTGTAATGGGTTTGTGGGAGTGTAATCACGTCCTGTCCAAACTGTCCAGACTGTCCGCAAAAGGTTGAAGGGAACAAGCAATTAGACACACTGACGTTTGCTAGTTTGGATGTTACAGTTGCACCACTTTCAGCGCCCAAAAAATTGTGCAGAGATGTGTAGCGTTCAATATAATAATTCTCATTATTTTTAGTGCAAACATGCAATCTCAGTGCTATTTGCCTGAAATTAACACCACACTACATGACAGTAAATACAATTTCATTTAAAAGCAGTACTATTTGGCTGCAACAGTAAACAATATTTCCCTAATGAAATGAACACTGCACTAAATAACAGTTAACAATTATTTTTTTTTTAAACTTTTGCTTTGTGCAATTAATTTCTCACTAAACGACACAAACGCAGTGCTATTTATCCAGTGAAACAATGGCAAAACATTGCAAAATGCGGTACTCTACGTTTTCCTCCACAACCTAGTGCTCAGAACCAGTCTGCGCAAGTTGCTTTCAGAAATTGTTTGCCGTGTTTACACCATTGCCTTATTTTCCATAATTCCAATCATCTATCAGCCCTAGTTTAAATGATTGTTTACTAATGAAAATGAAAAATCTGACAATATCAACTCACTTCAACTCGTTCCAAGTCCACATGACTTTTTCTTCTGTGGATCAAAAAGGGAGATGACAGTACCAACAATTACAAAAATAAACATAAAAGTAGTCTAAATAATGTGCACTTTATTCCAAATTGCTTGTTCCAATGCTCCTGATTTTGCATAAGTACATACAAAAATGCAGACAGATCATACAAACAAACAGCGCTATAAATGAAAACAATTCAATTCAATTTTCCCCAATTCAACTTTGCTTAATGGCAGCTTTTAGCCTCTAGCTTCCATCTCTGTGCTTTCTGCAAAGTGAGACAAGCCACATTGTTGTCATGTGCATTGAGATCTTTGTAGTCTGATGATAATGATGTCAGAGAAAAAAGTATGTGGAATGACATAGGAATTATTGGTAATGCTATTTCTTTTTTTTTTTTTTTTTTTTGGCCTGCAATGTTCAGTTTTTAATCCTATAATGGTTATTTCATTAATTTGTAATTACAGGACCAGAATGGGATGATTTGTGCGTAACAGGATGTAATGTTCTTGAGGATGGTCCATAACTTCAAGCCATTACCAGCCACAGTTTATACACTAATGAGGGCTTTTGGCAACAAGCATTCTGGCCTTTCAAGAATTCCAAGGTCAAAGCACAGTTTATTTACAACCGTGTAGATAGCTACATTAGTTGATGTTACCATTTTATTCGTCTTGTATTGGTTTATCAGCTGTGTACAAAGCAGTTCTACAAAATGTATCTTCCCCTGCTCCTAACATAGCTCCAGTTAAAGAGATATTTCTCCCCAAAATGAACATTCTGTCATCCTCAGGAGTCTTATGGACAACCTTTATGGTTGCTTTTGAACCTTGACAGCCCCTGGTTAGCATTCACTTCCAAAATATGGAAGAGAGCATCATAAACATCCTGTCTATTATCTCTATGCTACGAGTTCTAGAAAATCATTTGGATTTAGAACAACATGAGGATTTTTAGGTGAACTGTCACTTTAAGTCCATCTCTGATTCCTGTAAGTGATTGCAACTTTCACAAACAAGGCCTCTGTCCCAGCTATTCACTGCCAAAACAAACTTCTAATGAAGACTGTTCTCATAACTTATCCTGGCGTATGATGGCCATGCATGTCCTATTAGTCTTACTTGCAATGTGGCCACTTGTTTTCCAAAATTCTAAGACAGATCTACAAACATAGCTCTCCCAGTGTCCATGCCGTATCATTGCACATTCTTCAGGATTGCTCCTTCCCTCTTATCAGACACTCTGGCAGCCTTTTCACAAACACTTCAGGTTCAAGACCTGGAGCCAGGCAAAACACTAAAACATCCCAAACCCAGCTGGCCATCAACAGGATAAATGCGTATAAATGTGGATTTTGTTTTTTAAATGGATTCTTGTCTTATGAAAAACAGATCTGACTGTAATTTTTAAAAGCATAGGAATAAGAAAGGATGGAAAAACCAATAAATAAAGAAACAATAAATAATATTGATTCTGTCTTTTTTAAATTGTCAGGGTTTACACTTGAGTTAGGCAAATGTACTACTCAATAATAATATAGACATGAGACAAAATGTACAAAACAATGTGTAAAATATCTGTTCACTGGCTTGATCTATACCTTTATGCCCATGGGGTTTACTTCTCAGTAAGATATTAGGCATTTATTCAGACCCCCTTGAAATCTTAGTAATATATCAAGTGGTGACATGATCCAAAGTCATATCCATTTCCTGTTCCATTACCACCTCATTCACACATCATTGTAAACCAGACTGGTAGTACACAAATGGACCCATGGGTAAAGTGTGCTCTGGAGTTATGACTCAAACACCTTTTTCCATAAATGGAAATGGTTCCACTTTCATGTTAAAAAATTGTCTTCAAATTTATGGCTTGGAGAATGGGAATCTTCATAATGTAACAGCATTTAAATATAGTAAAAGCAATGACAACAAATGAATGCCCAAATATGATACAGACCTGATGCAAATAAGAACTATAATAAAAAATAAACATTCATCATAACTTACTCTTATATTGTTCCAAACCTCTAAGACTTCTGAGAAAGAGAAACACTCTTTTTAACTTTTTTAAGAATATCAAGACCAGTATTTTTGATATTAATACAAGTGAATAAGGATGTTTAGCTTCAATATTACAAAAAAGTACCATAAAATTGTCCATATGAATTGAATGACATCCATGACAGTCCAATTTGTGAACAAATCATTGCTTTGAATTGGATTCTTGCAATTAATCAGTTGTCTCAATGATTCGATCATGAATCAAACTGATCCAGTTCTCAAATTCAACTGGTTTAAACACCCAACCTTACATATTATCACAGATGTGGACGATTTACAATAAAAAAAAGCAACTTAAATTTTGGAGTTTGTCACACAAAGCTATTGTACGACTTTATAACAACCGAAAATAGTTCATTTTGTATGGTGCTTTAGCATAACTTTAAAGAGCTTAAAAATCATCACTTCTTTATTTATTATACTTACAAGGAAAGGAGCAACCAGCACAGTCATTAAACAATCTCATTTTGTATTCCACAGAAGAAATAGCATAATATGGGTTTGGACCAACATGAGGATGAGTAAATAATGACAGAACTTTTTGTTGTTGTTTTTGTTGTTGTGTGAACTCTCTGGTTGTCTTTTACTATACGTGTGAGTCCACACAGACTGCACTTTGTCACATGCTCTGCAGAGCTTTTAGACAGGTGGCTTTTTTATGCTTCCCTGGTCACCATGGAGTTAGTGCCAGCTTTCTAGCCTTGCACAAACACACACATTTATACTGGAAATGGACAGTGTGTGTGTGTGTGTGGGGGGGGGGGGGTGGATAAGGGGTGTGAGGGAAACCAACAGAGGGACAGAGCAACAGTGCGAGGACACTTTGTTTGCTCTGTCTGGCTACATAAACATAACCACATGCAAATGTCCACACACACAGTCAACATACAATCTACTCATAAAGAAGAAAAGTAGCTGGACAGGATCAAACACAAAGGACTTGAATTGGCTCAGGCATACAACTGAAACCCTGCAGATCTACAGTACAACCAGAGGCAAATATTTGAGGACAGCAGGGGGAGGTTTCACTGAATTGATGTGGTCTGGTATTCCAGTCCACTTCTTGTCTGAGATGTCTCAGATGGAGGAGTCTAGAATGCTTTCAACTTCGACACTAACCAAGGTCAGCCTTCAACCTCGCCTCTTGGACATAAAATCTACCGCCTTTATCAAGAGCGAGTTAACACAGATGGCCGGCCTACCGAACACACAAACAATCACACACACGTTGAGTCCTTTCAACACATACAGATAATCTGAGGCACACGCATGCTCGGGCAAGGTCCGCTGGGGAATGTTATTTATCGCAATTTGTCTGACCACACAGCAGCTTGATTCATTGCCTGGGGTCCAATGACTTGTAAGACCCACAAATCTCCCCCTTCTTGGGCCAATTAAAACATTCCAGCAGCACAATCTCTTGTTTTCATTGAAGACCATTAACTTGTAATTCACCACTAATCTGTAAACCAACACAACCACAAGCATCTCTTCTTAAACCGCAGGGTCCTACATTTTAAAAAACACCTGCTCTTTTTCAGCTATGATTGTTACACTCTAAAAAATGCTGGGTTGTTTTAACCCAATTTTGGGTAAAATATGGACAAACCCAACTTTGGGTTAAAAATGTGAAATGTTAACCCAATTACTGGGTTTGTCTAGCCTGGGTTTCCATATGCTGCCTTGCCGCAGCGCAATTTTATTCAGCTGGGCAGCCTGGACACAATGAACCTAATTTTTCGCCTGAGATAGGGAACCAATCACAGCAAGACGATGATGACGTGCATGCGACACACCGAAGCAGTTTGTTTATATTTATGGATTCATCATGGAAGCGGATGCGAAGTTACCTTTTGATACAGCCTTTGCGTATACATAAATCTCCTAAATCTCTGACCCATCGTTTTCTTCATCGTCTAATTTTCTGTCGCTCTACACTCTAAAAATGCTG